TTGGCATACAGCTGTGTTTCTCCACCTTCAAGAGCTGACCACTCTAATATCTCTTCCTGTAGCGTCTATTTTCAAATGATTATATTTTTACAAAGTTCCTTAAGATTTTATATTTCGATGCGTGTACAAGTGTAGTGGTGCTGTTGTACATGGACTCAGTTTATACAAATAGGTAAACAAAACGAGTTCTCTGCTTTAAAATGCTGTTCCTCAATGTACAATTTAAAACATCTGCAGTTTGCGGCATAAACCTCTGACATTAGCTTACATTTTTGTTATGGTATGATCTGGCACGAACAAATTTCAGAATCATGAAATTTGTTGACATAGCTGAACCTATAATTTTCTACCTTGGTATGTATTGGTAATCGTAGATGAAAACTGAGAGTGAGAGAGTGCTTTATTACCGGAATTTAGGCAGTTCAGAGCAATTCAACTTGTCTTAATCATTCATATTGATGAACACTTTTATATCCTCATGACCAGCTTCCACTCTGGTGCATTCAAGCTGATTAAATCTTACTCATGGACCAGCCATATAACTACTGTTGTTACAAGACCAGGTCAGAAGCTGGAAATTCTGTGGCAAATGACTCATTCCCTGACTCAAAGCCTGTCCACCATCTACAAGGCATAAGTCAGGAGTGTGATTGAAAGCAATCTGCTTGACTGGATAAGCACAAATCCAAGAACAATCAAGAAGCTTGATATCACCCAAAACACAGCAGTCATTTGTTTGTCAACCCAGCCACCACTTTAAATGCTTCATTCATTTAACTACTGGTGCCTGGTGGCAACAGTATGTAGCATCATGGGGTGGGATTTGTTGAAGAGAGGAGAAGATGGGGAGGAGAATATTGAGGAGGGGGGAAATGAGAAAGAGTCATTGAAGACAAGGGAGATTAGGAACAGGTCTAGGAAACTGGGAGATGGAAGGGAGTTTTTGAAGCAAGGGGAGGATGAATAGGGTGGGCTAGTTGAAGGTGAAGAGGATGATTGAAGGGGGAGAGTTGGGGAGGGGTTTGTGAAGGAAGGGGAATATGGTGAGGGGTTTGTTGAAAGGAGGGAGTTTGGCTGGGAGTTATTGAAGCAGTGGGGAGCTGGGAAGAAGATTTTCAAGCAGGAGAGATGGGAAAATGAGTTTCAAAGTGAGAAGATGTGGAATGGTTTATTGTAGAGAGGGGGAGGGGGATTTTGAAGAGCTGGAGAGATAGGGAGGGGATCTTTGACAGGGAGGAATGGAAAAATGTTGACAAAGGGGAGACAAGGAGGGGTTTGTTGACGAGGAGTGAGATGGAAAGGTGGTTGTTGGTGAGGGTGGAGACAGGGGGTATGGGTGAAGGGAACAGGAGATCAGAATTTGGTAGAATGGGGGATGGATTGGTGGATTGAGGGGATGATGAGGCGTTGCTGGTGAAAGGTGAAAAGTGGGGTGGTTGGCAGAGGGAGGGGGAAGGTGGATAGGTCGGCAGAGATATGGGGGAATGGGGGTGTTGATGAAGACACTGGTGGATGGAAGAGGAGATGGCGGAGATTTGGTAAAGGGATGCAGAGAAGGGGTGTACACTCAATTTCTTTCACCCTGTATGTTACATCTAAAGATGTTTCACCCCCACCATCAGCAACTCTTGCAGCACCCCTAAAACTTATCCCTGGTGTCACACGTAGTCTAAAGAATGAAAATGTAGTCACACCAAAAGGAAGTTTAGGCAGCGCTGGTCCAGAAGGACAAGGGTCCCGATACAAGGGAACACTACATCCTGCACATTCGCCTCCAAACCACACACCATCCTGACTTGGAACTATATTGCTGTTTCTTCACTATCACTGGGTATTGTCTCTTTAGCAGCACTGTGGAAGGCATTATCTTCTCAAGGGCAGTTAGGAAAGGATAAAAATGCCAGTGATGCTCACAGTCCATGAAATAATTTTTTGAAAAAAACCATTGGACTGACCATTTAATCTGAAGGATAGTCACTCCAGGAAGTATAACCTAACCTTTGCACCTCAACACTCCAATGTATAGTGCAAAGTCAAGTTGCACCAGCAATATCTTTGACACCATTCCCAACTTCAGCTTGAAATGAAGTACTCAAGTGCCCATTAACACAAATAGCCTAATGATTATATTGTTGTACCTGCACTTCAGAGTTTGAGAGTGCAGCACACCAAACTGAGAAAGTTAAATAATTAAATCTGGTCACTTATGAAGTGGCAATTGATAAAATAATTGTGACAAGCTGAAGTTCTTATGAATAACTGACTTGTGAAATATTGACTTGTCTTTCTTTCCCTAAATCCTGCCTGCCCTGCTCCGCCAAATATTTTCATCATTTACTGTTTATATTTCAGATTTTCAGCAACTGCAGTATTTCCCGTTTGACTAAAAGTTGTTGGGTTATTGTAAAATTCATTTCCCCAAGGAAGGAAACTGCTCCTTCTCTCTCTTTTTCCATCACTTATTGGCCATCTGTCCAGTCATGGCTCAGCTGGTAACACTGTCACTGAGTCAATTTTCATTCCAGAGATTTGAGCATACATTGGCACTAGTTTAGTATTAAGAAAGTAATGTGTTGTTGCAAATGCCTTCTTCAGCTGAGATTTTAAACTGAGGCCTGGTTTATTCAGTCAAATAGGCATAAGATATCTCATGGCACTACTTTGATGAAGAGCAGGGCAATTTTTCTGTCTCTTGCCAATCCTTATACCTCAATCATCATCATGAAAGAGATTATCTGGGAGCTTGCATGGTGCCAATTGGCTGCTCCCAAGATCCAAAGTCTTTCTTTTAGGCCAATTAAGGATGGAAATTGTATGTGGATTTTTTTTTTGCCAATGATATCCACTTCCTAAAGCTTAATTTGAAAAAACTACATTTCTATATCTGTCTCAAATTTACTTTTTTGATCTGAACTTGATTGACAGTTAAGAGTCAAATTAAATATTTGATTTAAGATTTGAATATTCAGGGATGAACTATTGGTGATGCCAGCAAGGAAGGAGTTTAATCCAATCTGTCTGGATTGTGTTCAGACCTAGTGTCCAGAGAGGAGAAAAAAAACCCTCTTGAGAAAGATAACAGTCTTCAGAATAATAACTTCAGTAGCTGCTGAAATATAGGTTAGTGCAATATTCTGATCTAGATTTTACTGAATGTATGAAAATTAAGACGAGTGAAAGGTGGTAGTGTGGACGTTCCCTTCCTGAAATCTCAAATTCATCCCTCAGCAACCTGGAATCTGGGACTATATAATAACTTTAAGGTTCTTCCGTATTTGTGGAATTTCACATGGCAAACTGTGTCTGAAAAAGGGTCATTGAACCTGAAACTTTAACTCTGCTTTCGCTCCACAAATGCTGCCAAACCTGCTGAGTTTTTCCATCAGTTTGTTTTTCTTTCTGATTTCCAGCATCCACAGGTCTTTGGTCTTTTTCAGCTGTGTTCACCTAGTCTGTCAAAGGAGATGCCACCAAATCTAATATTTCGTGATAGCTTATTTTTGACATGTTCTGTAAATTAATTACAAACTGGGAGACATTTAAATTTAACACACATCTCAAATTTAATACCCAGTGTTTCTGGACAAAACTACTGAAGATGCTTGCACTTTAAATTGCCACCATAAACTGCACACATAAATGGACCAGTTCCATCCTCCTTCCTGACTGCTCAGTCAAGCTAATGGCACACGATCCTGAGCTGAACTGTGAAGTCATAACTAGTTCATCAGTAACATTGTTGTACACTTTAATCTCAGCAAAGTGGCCCATCTATGACAACTATTGTCTCTGTCCAATGTTGATTGACATTTTCTATGCTCTCCTCGGCTGTTTCCTACACAAAATTAAACTGGACCAGATCTCCTGTGCTTGTATTCCATCCATCATCTAATTGCTCCTGCATTTTCTGATCAACACTGGGTCACTTTATTTCAATGTACCAGCTTTATGGTCCTCATTTTCAAATTCCCATCTCATCCTTACACCTCTCTCCCACACCCTCAGCTTACATCTTGTATTTCTGTGATTCTGTTATGTTCTTCACCCCTATGTCTCTCTCACTCACAGCAATGGCACAGGCTGCAGCCAGTGCTGCTCTGCTGTAGTGAATTTTTTCTTTCCCTTGCTATCTTGCTCCCACATTATGCTGTTTTCAAAAGCTTGCTGAAAACCTAAATTTTTGGCCAAGTTTTGAAGAATCTCCTTATATTCCCTAACGCATTTTGGTAATTTTTTAATATTCATTTGGCATCGCTGACTAGGCTAGTATTTTTATTGCCTTTTCCTAATCAGCCATGAACAGGTGGTGGTGAGCTGCGTTCTTAAACTGCTGCAGTTCATGGGGGGCAGTTTCACCCACAGTACGTGGGTGGCTCAGTGGTTAGCACCGCTGCCTCACAGTGCCAGGGACCCAGGTTAAATTCCAGCCTTGGGCGACTGTCTGTGTGGAGTTTCCACGTTCTCCCCATGTCTGTGTGGGTTTTCTCCGGGTGTTCTGGTTTCCTCCCACAGTCCAAAGATGTGCAGGTTAGGTGCATTGGCCATGCTAAATTACCCATAGTGTCCAGGGATGTGTAGGTTAGGTGGATTAGCCATGGGAAATGCAGGATTACAGGGATAAGGTAGGATGGGTGGGATGCTCTTCAGAGAGGCGGTGTTGACTTGTTGGGCCAAATGGCCTGTTTCCACACTGTAGGGATTCAAATCTATTCTATTCTCCTGTTTGAACTGAGTTCCCGGATTTTGAACCAGTGACAGGTGAAGCAAAGGTGATATATTTCCAAATTAGGATGATGTGTGCCTTGAAGGGTGACTTGAGGTTACAGTGTTCCCATGAATCTGGAGTACTGTAAAATATATGTAAAATATAGAATCAGAAGTTTTCTCAAGTAACAACAATGGAAGTCTCTTGTCAGCTTGAAAAGCTAATTTGAAGCATGATCTGCTTTTGCATTGCTTTCCTAAAATGCTTCTTATTTTATTTCCCTTTTATCTGTCAGAACTCTCCTTTGTACCAGTACTTGCAGGATGTGGGACACACTGACTTTGAAATCTGTCCAACATCATCATGGGCAGAAGAGCACTCATCAAAAGAGGAACCAAATGAATTGGACATCTCTGCCCCACCAACAGTGAGTGCTTAAAACCTTGATAGTAGGGAAACATTATGGGAACTGACTGTCTCCCTACATTAAAGACACAGCTTCCTTTCAGTTATTATCTGCCGAATAGCTATGTATTTTGCCTTTTGCATACAACCAGAAATTTCTCTAGGAATTTTGTGTAGCATATCTTAATTTGTTGAAAATTTTCTTGAGCCACGTTTAAAATAACCTGTTTAAGCAGCAATAGCTTACATTTACATAGGGGTTCTAATGTAAGAAACTGTTCCAAGGTCCTTCACCTAAGCAATATCAAGAAACATTTTGTGCCAAACCAATATAAGGTAACATTAGAAGAGTTTAGAAAAGAAGCTTAGTCAGAGTTGTAGATTTTAAGGAATATCTTCAAAGAACAGAGGGGGAGAGATTTGGGGATAGAATTCCCTTGAAAATTTCATGGAATGTTGGGAAAGGTTACAGAATTGGAGAGGGAGGAGACCATGCAAAAATTTGAATGCGGGAAATGAGAATATCAAAACTGAGGCATTGCTGGACTAGGAGTCAAGACCAGTCAGTGAACACAGGTAATGGGTGTGAGTGAGATAAATAGATTTCTTCACTGATTTATTTCGCATTGTGAAAGGTGAGATTCTTTTCAGTTTTCAAATAGTGTATGTTGACTCCATCATAAAGCAAACGTTTCTTCTTGCTCAGTAGTTTGAAGTGGAGTAAAAATAGCATGTAATCGCTGAAATCATTTCAATGTAATTTAAGAAATAGTTTACTTATCTTAAATAGTGAAATCTTCCCAGCCCTGAATGACATGGACAATGATGATTCAGGTGGGAAAATATGGCAAGATCAGAAAAATGTGATTTCTGACATCCGGAAAAATAATCTCTTTTTTTTACCATGCAAGATTTTAGTGGCTACGTGAGAATCTTGCAAGTGAATAAAAGGGACCTTTTTACATGCGTTTACATCTCATTATTATCTATTCTCACCTCATTTAAATGCAATTTGCTTCTCTCCCACTCAGCAGAGAAAAACTAGATCGCAACATTGCCTGACATGAAATCCTAAGCAGGTACCAGGCAGCTACAGCTCGCTTGCATCTTCTCTGGGTATCCATTTTGGCTAGCATTCCCCAACATTGCACAGTCCATGGACAGTGATGGCCTGCACCTCTCGACAACAGCAGGTGTTGTCAGACATGCACTAGCCTCATCATGTCTTGACACATCTCCAACTCACTTAGAATACAGAGATAGTAGGAACTGCAAATGCTGGAGAATCTGAGATGACAAGGTGTAGAGCTGGATGAACACAGCAGGCCAAGCAGCATCGTAGGAGCAGGAAGGCTGATGTTTCGGGCCTAGACCCTTCATCATTTTCTGATGAAGGGTCTAGGCC